TATAATTTAGTAAGAAGCAAGTGGTCTCGCGGACTGAGTGCAGGGGCTGCGGATATGGGCTTGCGGAGATCTCGAGTTCAAATCTCACTAAATCACCTTAGGATTTTTCAGGTCCGGTCCCTTTCAATGGAGTTCATCGGTTGATCGGGGCGAGTTGTATCAGGCCTTCAAAAACTAATTCGAGTGAAATCTCGAAATTCCCCTCATTTTTAAACCTTTTGCAAGAGATATCATTTGCATGTTTTTGATGTGGACATTAGCAGTCTCAGGCATATCCCTGAGATATTATTTGAACATCATTACTCATTCGAAAATGTCTCAACGAGATATCTTTTGCACATTCAAAGTCTCTGTGAAATATCTTCAAGACATCTTAAATACATCATTGTGCCGTCTGGGTACCTATATAGTAAGTCGTAAAAATAATATTCACACGTTTCCGAAGATTCCACTTGTTGCATCCAAAATTAGTGATTGGAATACCCACAACTGATATTTGGAGAAGTGAGAGATCACTCACAATCTACTTTGAATAACAAATAGATAAACAAATACACTTCTCCTCTTTCTGAATCAGAAGGGCCACTCGCGGTGTTGAGTCGTCCCGAGTAGCATCCGAACTCTCCTGAATCGGAAGAGCCACTCGCGGTGTTAAGCCGTCTCGGGTAGCATCCGAGTTTTTTCTTTTCTCTGAACCTCTCTCGCTCATTTGTATTCTATCATCCATCAAACTGAATTTAAAAAAGGCTTGCACCTCCGAAATTCAACCACGAGGCTAAATCGGGATAACAATATACAATTATATACCCAGCAAACAATTTCTGACTGCGCAGACCTTGGCAACAGAAACTGTGTGCAGAAACGCTACAGTACGGAAACATGCTTTGGTGCTGCCAAAACTGTTAGCATATGGAGACAAAAAACGCAACAACTCTGTTGGCACATACATGAGACTATTGCGGCCAAAGTGATTCCATATATGTTAGTAAAATTGAAAACAAATAAATGGTCGATAGCAAGCAGATCTGCTTTAGCAATACTGTGACCAAACAGTCCGCAAAACCGTATGAGCATCTGTTATGACAAAACGTTGACCGCAGTCGGGTCGTTCTGTTGAACGCAATGACGACAAATTGCCACCAAACGCCAAGCAGATCTGTTCGTGCATATGTGCGGACTGTTTGCACGCAAGACTACTAAACTGTCTGTTTGACATCTAAACAACAAAATGGCGATTATCTGCGATCATATCTGTCGTCTGTGTTGATAACAGATTGTTAACAAACGTTGCACAGTCTTTTACAATTAGACCTTGTTTATGCGGGCAATAACTGTTAGCTTATGCCGGAACCGNTAAAGTTTAACTGCAAGATTTTAATACTTCTATTTATACGCATTCGGCAATGAAGCAATCATAAATGTAATGTATTATTCTCGTATTTATTGAGTAATATAAAACAATGGGTGCTTTCCAGCTACGTACATTCGACACTATGTTACACAATGTCCACTAGTGTGAATGAGATATACTGATATGCTCCTTCTCACNCTAATAGACAGTATATTATACATTTAACTTTAATTTTCTCGGAAATTTGACGTGGTAAGTCAATTTCACCGCCAGATTCGTTTTCAGTGACCAAAAATCAATTAAAAAACACTTTGTTTGTTCAAGTATCAGCATATA